ATAAATAAATAAATAAATAAATAAATAAATAAATAATTGTAGTGTCTTAGGTTGGGTGTCCCTTCTTTGTATCTTCTTAATGCTGTTAAAGCTATGATAGACTAATTTAAAAAGTGATTTGTGGGCCTGGTGTGTTGGTGCATGCCTTTAATCTCAGCACTTTGGAGGCAGCGGCAGGTGCATCTCTGTGAGTTCAAGGCCAGCCTGGTCTACATAGTGATTTCCAGGCCAGCTGAGGCCACAGGGGAGACCCCATCTCAAAAAAAGACCAAAAAAATTGATTTATGATGTAATATTTAATACTTGTGAATAAGATTTTGCTTAGTTTGTCTTGTTGATGACTTTCTAAGATATTATCATAGAATAATTAAATTCTTCTGATTTATATTTTCTATTCAGCAGTTTCTGACTTGTATATTCACTTTTGTACAATTTATTCATTGTAGCTGCTGCATGATATACTAATGGTTCAATATCCCATTTGATTAATTATGGTTTAAATATTCCTTCTCTGTTACTGGACTTTAAGGCTATTTTCAGCTTTTTGCTACTGTACATGAATACTGGTAACATAAAATACATAGTTAGAAGAGAAAGATTATAGAATACATATATATATGTATATATCTAGTGGACAAATGGCTCAGTGGTTAAGAGCACTGGCTGGCAGTGGACAGTGGACCCAGGTTTGATTCCTAGTAACCACACGGCAGCTGACAACCATCCGTAACCCCAGTTCCAGAGGATCCAGTGCTCTTTTCTGACTGCCATGGCCATTGCACTACATGGAGGCATACACTTATACATATAAAATCAAGAAAGAAATGAATATATAAATATTCAATTTCAGCACACAAAACCAGATTGTCCTTAATTTTTATATAGAGCCATTTTCTTGAGAAATCAAAGATATCTCAATTCAAGCCACATGTTAGAGTATTAATCAGATATTTGATAGATTTTCATATTGGATTTCAACATCATCTGGTTAAGATACAAAACCTGTTCAAACTTCAAAGAAGAATAATAAAGAAAATGAATAATTTGGAAAACAGGACCCAGTAATGGATTCTTTTCTGTGTGTGTGTATATGTTGTGACTATGTGTATTTTTGTGTGGGCATGTGAGTGTCTGTGTGTTTATGTGTGTGTTTATTTGCGTATGTGTTTGTGCATGTATTTGTGTGTATGCTGTGTTGTTTAGTGTATCTTGTGTCTGTGTTATGTGTGTGTGTATCCATGATTATTTTGCCTTCAACAAAAACTGTCATCAAGGATATTAAAAAAAAATTCTTTATGTGTATGAGTGTATTGTCTGCATATATGTAAGTGCACTTGTGTCATATAATGCCTGAGGAGGTCAGAAGAGGGCATTGGACCCCCTGGAACTGGAGTTATGGATGGCTATTATCCCCCATATGGGTGCTGGGGACTGAACCTGGGTCCTCTTCAAGAGCAGTCAGTGTTCTTAAGTGCTGAGGTATCACTCCAGCCCTTGTCCTCAAGGATATTGAACCTATTACATATGACTGGTTTTGAGAAAAAAAATCACCAACTCACAAGAAATTATATCTCATATGATACTATTTTCTATGCTGTAGAACATATAGTTACCTGCATATTCATGTACTTAACATAAATGTACAAATAATGAAATTATGCAGCTTCGACTGTAATTGCCAAATAAGTTTAAGAAGAAAAATATTACTCAGCTAAATATTTGATGTTTGGAAAATGCCTGCTGTAGTGTATAATGTGAACCGAATATAAGCATAAATGTTGACATTCTATGATCCCAATTTTCCTAGCACCTGACCTGAACTTCTTATTTATGGTATTTATATAGGAGTTGTAAGAAGGGATGTTTAGCAATTGTGGTCAAAGTGAGCATTATTTGGAGTGTGGGTTGGTGAAGGTTTGGGACTGCAGGTTCTCTAGTCAGATGACTTTAGTTTTCTTTAGTAGTGATGAAAGACTGCTAATGTAGATGAAGGATTTTAGGACTGATTAACCAGACATGTTGTGCTTTCCAAAGAAGGAGTCAGGGCAGGTGAAGGGTCTGGACACAGCTCCCAGTGTCATCCTGTCACCTTAGGGAAGGTCTCTGCTTAGATAAGAGGAGTGTGGGCATGGCAGTTAGTGGACAAGTGGTTTATCTTGTGCTAGCTATGTCTATATGAGAGGATATATTAATCTTTCTTTCCATATATTAAATTCTACCCCAACTTTTGTTAATGAGTCAGATTAAAGACTATGTCAGTTGAAATCTCTTGATTGCCTGAGTGTTTTAAAATTTTGCATAATCTTTGAGATTCTTTAATTACTATTTAACTAAAAGAAAACCCTGTTCCTTGTTTAATTATTCTAATACATAGCTGTGGAGTTCTTTGTTGCGGGTGTCCATATGTAGACCTGGGTGGAATTTTTATTTTGTTACACTTTTTCTAGTTTCAAATTGTAGATTATCTTAAAAATAAGGCTTTTAAGAAGGATTATAAATGTACTAAAAGTCTTGCTTAACAAGTATATGGTGATCATATCATAGAAGTACAGGAAAAAATATTTAATTTTTTATTTTATGTGTATGAATGCATTGCTTGCATGTATATAAGTGCACTTGTGTCATGCAATGCTCACAGAGGTCAGAAGAGGGTGTTGGATTCCTTGGAACTGGAGTAAGGGACAGAGTGGATGGTTGTTAGCTGCCATGTGGATGCTAGGAACCAAACCTGGGTTTTCTGCAAGAGCAACGAATGTTCCTAACTACTGAACCATCTTTCCAGTTCCAAGAAAAATATTTTTACAGCTGAATATTGCTCCACTTACAAAATTCCAGCTTTGCCAGTTTCTTTGAGGAAGAATCAGTAGAACTGTTTGTTTATCTGGGCTTTAAAAAGTGGAAATTACCAGCAACTGGAAAACAAGACTCAAAGGTGAAAATCTCAAACGCAGCATTACAGCAACCGGGTTGGCTTGACAGTGTTGAAGTCTTATGTTGAGGAAATGTGCATAACTGCACACCCACTGTGCTACAGTCTGCAGCCCAAAACTTCAGTCTAATTTTTAAATTCATATATCATGGACTCATTTGGTAGAGTGCATACCTAGTGTACAAGTGATACAGGGGAGAAACCGGCTCCCCTGGAGGGTCTAATAAAAAAATTTAAGAATGTACTCAAATGGAAGCTTCAGGACAACTTTATTTGAATTTAGGGAAAAACCCTCAGGGCAGGGAAGCCATTGATCTCAGCAGCTGCCTTGAGAATGAGAATGAAAAGAAGAAAAAAAGTTTAGAGCCACCTTGGAGGTCAGAGAGACACCTGGCAGCTAGCAGCTACATGACAGGGACAGGGAGTCCTAGAGCAAAGGGTAAACCCCAAACCCAGCCCCAAGCATTAAGGAAAGCATGATTAGAAAAGAGAAAAAGAAAAGTGATGTTATTCTTTTCTGGAGAAATTGGAAAGGTGGGCAGGACTTACAGAGAGCCACACATCAGCGACCTAGACCCACAAGAACAGCACTAAGGGGGGGGGGGATTCCAGACAGGAGAAGTTCACCATCTCATTGATGCATTGGTGTTCTTCCCATCTCTATAGCATAATTTAAGGTGAACCTGCCCTCCTAGGGTGCTGCTATGACCAGGTGATCTGGCAAAACTGGAAAGTTAAGTCTTCAAGCCACATTCTATTTTGACCAGCCTTCTCCCAGGGGCTTTTTGCTACTGTAACATAAACAGCCCTGGGCTAGATCTCCACAAGAAGCCCTGGGCTAGATCTCCAGCGCCATACAGTTGGTATAGCCAGGCACACCTGTAATCCCAAACTTGGGAAGTGCAGGCAGGAGGATCAGAAATTCAAGATCATTCTCTGTTATATAGCAGACCTGAGGCCTGCTTGGGACACTTGAGACCCTGCCTAGTAAGTCCCCTCTTCCCCTAAAATTTGTATGTCAGTCACAGAATGTGCAGCAGCCAGTAACACTGTGAATAAGAAGACTCAAGGAAAACCACCTGCCAAAACCTGTTCTTGGTATTGATCAAATTGGGGCCCCTTTTCCAAAGAATTTCTTAAAACATGCTATTTTACACTGTTAAAGTTCAGTAACAAAATCTTTGTGACTTCCTTCATTTCAAGACGGTTAAAGAACAGCAAGGCGTCTACAGATGGACATCGGTACGTTTTTCGAGGCCGGATCAACACCGAGGTGATGGAAGTGGAGAATGTGGATGACGGCACTGGTAGGTGCCATCAGTAAAGCCCTCATAAGACAGGAACCTTGGCTGAATAATTTACCTGCAATGCATCAGAATATACAAATGCTTTGTTAGGTACACTTGCTGTATGAGCAGTGGAGTATGGTGAGATGAAGGTGTACTGGGTTCCTGTGAAACTTGAAAATTGGGCTTGGTTGAAACACAGTAGCCTTAAAGAAAAACTACTGAAAGGTAGCTACACCATTGCTGTGTCTGAGTGTGTCTGTTTTGCTTTAATACCACAGGACAGTCACAATTGCTGGGTTATAAAGTATGTGTGCAGAAACTCATGAGTGAATTCTCCTGAAGTAATATTTATATGTATGATATTCTGTTGTATAACATTTTTACCATAGAATATGAAAGATGGTAAGTTTGCTTTAGCTGTGACTGTTACACATGGATAGTTGCCAGTTGACCTGTACAGGGAAATTGCGTGGTGGTTATCTAAGTAATTTTAAGTATTAATTTTAAGTACTTTATTATTAAAGAGTAAATGTTTTCTTCTGAGATTTGGCCATTTTAGCTATATTATTAATTCTCCCTGCCTACATACATAGGAGTTCTTTCTGTCTTCTTACATCTTCTCCAACTTGATTCTTTGTTATTTTATAATTTTTACTGTCTAGGTCTATTTGTATACCTTTTATTTGTTTCTCTTACCTTATCCCTCTGACTACAATTTCAAGTGCTATGTTTCAGTATGAATGGTGGGAAGGGGCACGCCACACGTTCCTGATTTTATAGTAATTATTTTCATTGCTTTTCAGTCAGTGTGTTGGTGTTTGTGGGTTTGTTATATGAAGTCTTTACTTCTAGCTTTTTTCAGAGCTTTTCAAGAAGGAATAGTGACTTTTGTCAAAGACTTTTTCTACGTCTATTGAGACGATCTCATGATTTCTATCCTTGACTATTTCTGTGATGTAGTACCATTATTTATTGCATATGTGGAATCTTATTTGCATACCGTGACTCAAACAAACGTCATATGGCGTATCATCTTTTTACCATGCTGCTGAATTCTGTTGGAAAGCATTTCGTTGGAGAAATTTCAGTTTATGTTCATCTAGGATATCAATCTATGGTCTTCTTTTTTGGTGTATCCTTATCGCTTTTAGTATAAGAATAATACAGGCTTCATAAAATGGCTTTGAAAGTTTTCTTTGCATTTCCATTTTATGAAAAAGTTTGACGATCACTGATGTTATTTCTCCTTTGTAAGTCTGGGAAAGTTCAGCTGTGATCTGTCCAGTCCTGGCTTTTATTTTTAGGAGACTATTAGAGGTTTTTTTTTGTTTTTGTTTTTGTTTTTAATCTCAATGCTTATTACTGACTGTTATTTAAAAATGAATTAATATGCTCATTTCAATTTTGATAGGCCATATCTGCCTAGAACCTTTCCAATATATTGACTTATATTTTCTCAAAATATTTCTGAATGGTCCTGTGGGATTCAGTGTTACTTATTACAATATCCTTTCTCTTACCTCTAATTTTCTTTATTTAAGCTTTTCCTCTATCTTGTTTTTCATACTTTTATTCTGTATCTGGAACTTTCGTTTACATCAGTATTTTGTAGACTAATGCACAGTAACAAATAATGGGTTCTGCCAGGCATGGTGGTGCATGCCTGTAGTCCCAGAACTTGGGAGGCAGAGGCAGGCGGTTCTCTGTGAGTTCAAGGCCAGCCTGGTCTACATAATGAGTTCCAGGCCAGCTGGAGCTACAAGGAGACCCTGTTTTGAAAAGACCAAACAACAACAACAACAACAACAACAACAAAACAGTAATTAATGGGTTCTTCAAAGAAATGAAAAAAGATTGACAAACCCATAACTAAACAAACCGAAAAAGGGAGAAGAGCCAAATTAATAAAGTTAGAGGTGAGAAAGAGGTGGCAACTACAGAGTCCAGTTGAATTCAGAGAATCATGAGTTAATACCTTGAAAAATTCCCTCAGACTAGAGCATCTAGAATAAATTATTTCTTCCTAGAAACATGATTCACGAAAATTAAATCAATAGAGTATAAACAACTTAAGGGGATCCATAACAATCAGTGAAATTGAAGCAATAATTAAAAATCTCCCAACAGAGAAACCTAAGCTATGGATAGAACCACTGTTGAAGTCTACCAATCCATTAAAGGACTAACCTGCCTCAGACCATTCTGTAAAAAAAAAAAACAAAAAAAAAAACCAACAAATAAACAAGTCTCATCACAAGGATGTGAAGTTGGTGCAATACATGGGAATTAGTAAATATAATATAGCACATAAACAGACTCAAGGACAGAAACCACATGATTACCTCTATTGATGTAAAAGGCTTTTGACAAATTTTGACATCTCTTCGTGATAAAAAGCCTGAGGAAAGTGAGAATAGAAGCGACAGTCCTCAGCATAATAGATACTATATATCACAAATCTATACCTAACATTTCAGTACATGGAAAAAGAGAAAATTTCCTGTAAAGTCTATGAGAAAAGGTCCAACTCTATTCACTCCTATTTAACACAGTGCTCAAAGTCTTTGGTAGAACATTACAAAAGAAGAAAAACTTAAAAAGATACAAATAAAGATGGAGGAAGTCAAAATTATCCCCTGTGCACAGATGATGTGATCCTATACCTAAACACTCTAAAAGATTTTTATACATAACAGATGCTTTCCACCAGAAAACTCTTTGAATGAATAAATACTTTCAGCAAAAGAGCAGGATGCAAAATCAACATACTAGAATCAGTCATTTTTTAAATAAAACAATGACAAATTTTTCAAGAAAGAAAACAGGGAAGAATCTCACTCAAAAAAGCATTACAAAATACCCAGGAATAAATCTACCCAGGAAAGTAAGAGACTTACACAATGAAAACTTTAAGATAATGAAGAAATTAAAGGGCACACCAGAGGATAGAAAGAACTTTTATGTTCATGAATTGGCAAAAGCAATACTGTAAATGAGTAGTGTTACTGAAAGCAGTCTACAGACTCAACACAATATCAAAATTCTAGTGACATTCTATACAAAATTAGAAGAGACAATCTTAAAATTCATACAGAAGCAAAAAAGACCCTGGAGAGACTAAGCAATCCTTGGCAGAAAGAACAATGCGGTGCACAAGACCTGTGCAAGCCCAAGCCAGATAAAAATCCAGCATGGGTCCGGGAGGTGGGCAAGAAACCCCACCCCTAAGTGAAGATCTATTGATAATTGATAGCTACTGGGAGACTGAGAGTCAGTTTTCAAGAGTGTTTTGCCTGTTAGGTTGACCAGACTCCAACGGATGGATCCACATCCAAGAACATTTAGGAGGCACAAATTAGATTCGGCATGCCTTTATAAAAGAAAAATAATAATATGGGACTGGAGAAATGGCTCAGTGGTTAAGAGTACTGACTATTCTTGCAGAGGACCCAGGTTCAATTCCCATTGATTGATTTTTCTCCCTTAGCAGCTTACATAGTGTCCTCTAAAACTATGAGAGCTAGTCTTCAGGGAGGAGACTTCTGGGTCAGTTTCAGCTCCATTTCTCCAAGTCCTGTCTCTGAAGTATGTCCTGTCTTCAGCAATAGGGTCTTACTTTCAAGTTCTGGGAGGTAATCAAAGGCTGTGGCAATAGCCTGTGTTATTTTGAGATTCTTCTTGGACTATCTGATCAACAATTTGAAGGGAGGTTTCTCCTGTCTGGCACTTATTACCTAGCCTTCAGCTAGCTCAGATTTTAAATCAGGACCTCTGGTCCTGAAAGATCTGGGCTAAGCTGATTATGTCCACTGCCAAATACCATGTTTGGATGCTGGATAAGATGAATGAGGAATGGAAAAGTATTATCAGACTTAACTGACATTGTTGAAACCAAAATTCAAGAGCTACACCTTCTCTAGACAGAAATAATAAAATTGAATGAGTTGAGGTAGAGTTTTAAGCATGCCTGGAACTTCTGATGGAAATTTAAATGGAATAATATTCATTTCATTTGAATTATGGAAACACTTATTACCGTTATAGTCTATAGATGTAAAATAAAATGCGCAATAGAAAAGACAGAAACTATCAGAAAATTGATTGCATTGCTTTAGTTCAAAGCTAGCAAGAGAAATAATTGTATTTGGAATGGGACTCAATTAGCTTTCAGATGACATGTAAATAAATCTCTAATCTTTTTAAAATTTTCATTTCCTTATTTTTTTATTTTATTTTACATATATGAGTGTTTGCTCTGCATGTGTGTAATTGCACCCATGTCATGCAATTGCTGCAGAGGCCAGAAGAGGGCATTGGATTCCTTGGAACTAGATTTATAGGCAGTTGTTAGCTATCATGTAGGTGCTGGGAACCCTGTAAAAGAGTTCTGCAACCCCTGTAAAAGCAGCCAGTGATTTTAACTGCTGAGCCATCTCTCCATCCCCTCAATTTTTTAAAGAAACAATTATTTTGTCTTTTGTTTTTCAGTGCTAAGCTCCAAACCCAAGGCTTTACACTTCATAGCCAACTGCTTTACCCCAAACCCTTCAGAAATATTATGATATATTCTATGTATAATGTTTAATGGTTTGTATACTATCATTGTTATTCCTTGGCATAGAAAAATTTAATTGATGATATATCCTTCAAAGGTAAAAAAAATATATATATATTTGTTTTCTACCAAGTTACTTTTTATGTTAGGTAAGGGCAATAGTATTTTAGTTTATATCCAGATTTGCATTCAGCCATTCTCTGGATTTCAAAGTTCATTTCAGTGACTCTAACTTATTTCTTTGAGGACTGTTGCTGAGAATATTAGTTTGATCATAAAGTTGTAAAAAGATCTAATATAAAAACAAAAGTAGGAAAGTTACTGAACTTCCTAAGATGAACTTTCATAGTAATTTTTGAATTCTCTTTTAAGAACTAGTTTATGTGGTTTGATAGAAGTCAGGAGTGAAGAATGGTGACATAGAACATGTGGTGTGTATTTGAGTGCTGGGTAACCTACAGGC